ACCAGGGAGTTGGAATCGATTACCTTATAGGCCCTTTACAACTTCATATTCTATCATTCTATGAAAGCAGAGGAAACAGAGAACTGCAATAGGAGTCAGAAAACAGAAGATTGTAAAAGGAAAGAGAAAAAATGACAAGTCCTTCCTTATCTCTGGATCTTGAAAATCAAAGAGAGCACGGTGAGGGTTTGAGGGTGCAAAATAGGCACCCAAGTGGAAAACTCACAAGCTCATGGAAAAAGAAGCATCCAGACTGGCAGAAGCAGTGACTAGGACAAAGCATATCAGGCAAAATCCAAACAAAACAAGAAACACTGTAACACACCTTAAAGACTAACTATTATATTTTAATGTGAGCTTTTGTGGGCCAAGTCCACTTCTTCAGACATGCGGAATAAAATTAAATACAGAATGAAATGGAAATTCACAAGTAAAACATTCAAAACATTCGCTGGCTTTAAGAGTAGGACAAAGTAGATGCTAGAGGTGTCTAAATGAGTTATAAGTAGGGATGATAGAACACTGGGGAACAGGGTGGTCCTGGAACAATTTCCTGTCACTTGTTAACAAAGGAATGAGATGCAAGCTAGTACTGGAATGCCTAACAGTTCTTGGACATGGTTCTCAATGGCCATTTTCAGTAAGTGGTACAGGGAGGCTTTGATTGGACTGAACACAGACAAGAGTCTGGATGTTTAGCTTAGTTTTCTCAAACAAAATGGAACCTTTGGAAAGTTTAGGTGCTGAGAAACACATGCATGATCCTGCGTCTCACAGAAAAAAAAATACTGTGCACTGATCCAGCATGTCAGTTACTATGCTGGATCTACTCACTCACTGGATGATGGCAGCTGCTATTCTGCATGTTTTCAACTGCAATGTTTTTCTTAGTTATTGTTCCTGAACGTTTTTGGTTGCTCTACAAGGAACTTTTGCATTGGTGGACAAGCCCTTCAAGTGTCAATGTACCTTACAAACAATAAAGGATCACACTGTGTGGCCAGAAGATTAAATCATATCTGTGCCAGCTCCTAAGAATGCAGATGTAGCCTCCACCTGAGTGTTCTGCATGCTGATTAGAAAGAAAGAAAAAGACACATCAATACATTTCATTCACAAAAATAGAACTACAGCTTTTTAAAGGTCACAAGCCAGTATATTACCAAAAAAAAAAAAAATTCTCTATACTACGATTTTCTGTCAGATCTAGTTTTCAGAACATTATGTGGGTCCTTATAACTGTTGATTAAAATAGATAAAATTTAAATCACACATTTTACAAAATAAACAGTTTGGTACTAAAATAAGGTCATGATATGAGAAATGGCTTCCAGTAAAATAATAGCCTTTTAAAAAACAGATTTTAGTGGCATGTTAGTCAGTTCCCCAAAATCAAGAAATAGCATTTGCCCTTTGTCATTTATTCAATATATGATGCATATTTTACAAAGAGTATTATTGTGACATTTATCACAGAAGGACTGTATGCATGATATTAATTCCCTTATCCTTAGGCAGTGGATCTATACCTTTATGCCTTCTGGAGGAAACTGGCAGTCAAACCGACAGCTATGAGGGAGGGATGTTGGTATCTATATAAATATAAAGGCACAGGAGACCTAATCTAGCATTCTGTTCATGTAGCAGCCAACTAAATGCCTAAGGGAAGCCCACAAGCAGGAAACAACGAGACGAGTGTGATACTGCTCTTTATGATACCAAGACAAGGCCCTGTTTTTAGTTGGTGTGGCAGAGGAGAGAAACCACGAGCATTTGGAATACAGTTTAGTACAATGCCCCCCAAGTCTGCTGCTTGGTAACCAGTCTAGAGACAAAACCTGTATCAAAGAGATGATTTTTGGATCCATTTTCTGAACATTTCCCCCTTTTGATGCACATTTAAATATTTATTTATTCAGCACAAACTTTCTGGGCGGTTCACAGCACATTAAAATTGCATTATAATAAATGAAACAAATCGCCTAGCAATAAGTACTATAAAATAGAATAATAACTTGTCCCAAGGTAAAACCTATCTTAAATAAATTAAACAAATTTTAAACAAATATTTGAGCATCTTAGTTGGTAAAGCAGTAATAAAAGGAGCTTTAAACAATACCGTTTTTACTAATTTCTTAAAAACAGAGAGAAGGCGCCAGATGAATCTCTGTTGGAAGCTTGTTCTAAAGGGGCCACAACTGAAAAAGCAAAAATTTTGAGCTCAAAAATTTTCCTCTAAGAGAGCAAACAGAAATTGAAGGCAAATTTAAGTTGGAATATTAATGGAGGTGGGGGCAAAAAGTTGACAACCTAATCTTCTGTGTCTACTGGGATCCATTCCCCCTTGAGGCCACTGGTTATTGTTCTCAGGCAAACCTAAACTCCAGCTTAAATCTCCCGTTATCAGATTTCCTGATCCAACAGCACCTGTTCAAGGGGCCACTCTATTATCTAGAGGGAGAAAAGGGCCTCCAGCTTTCAAGGTGATGTCAAAAAGGGAGTAAAGATAATAGCTGTTGTTGTGTATTTTCTGTTAGGGAACTAACTGAAGAGGCACTTGTAGGAGCTTGTCTTCTCATGTAGTCAAATAACTTGGCTACTGCTGGACACTTTGACCCGGGATGGTGTGAAGGATGACATTTACCGCTCCATCTCAGGCAGCAAATTGTCTTGGACCATTTCTGTTGGGATTATGAACAATTCAGCATGCAAATGAATGCATCATCACCTGGGAGGAAGGAGGTACCTGTAACACTAACCTGCTGAGTCGTTTGCATATTCCCCCTCCTCTCTTGACCAATTAACTGACCTCTTTCTCTTTGCCTGGACAAGGATGACTTGTCCCCATCTCCTGTAGTTTTTCTGCCTTTGTTTAGCACTGGTTCTTAACCTGTGTTACTCAGATGTTTTTGGACTGCAACTCCCAGAAGCCTTCACCATCCCTCTTTCTCTTTGCCTGGACAAGGATAACTCGTCCCCATCTCCTGTAGTTTTACTGCCTTTGTTTAGGGGAACCTTTTGGGCCACCAGAGAGGATGGATGCTCTTTTGAGCCTTTCCTAACCTCGGGTCCACCATTTTCTCTCAGCCATGGGGCCCACTGGGCGAACCTTTTGGGACACCAGAGAGGACGGATGCTTTTTTGAGCCTCTCCTAACCTTGGGTCCACCATTTTCTCTCAGCCATGGGGCCGAAGAGAATCCAATTTTGTTTTTACTATTTTTAACCCCTTTCGTTATTCCTTTTACTACTAACCTCTGAAGCTTTTGTGGTCTATTCAATTGTACTGTAACCAATTGAAGCCTGCAACTTACAGCATCCATGAGTAAAGAACTATTTTCTTTTTATGTTAAAAGCAATCTCTGAGTAATTAATTACTTAAGTGGGTTAAATGCAGTGAGGTGTATGTGTGTTTGAAACTTGCTCCTGAATTCTAACTCCTAAATTACTAGCCCTTCTATTGTGAAATTAAGGGAATTAAAGCTATTCCTTTTGGATAGTACTACATAAACCATAATACTCTTAATGATTTCTGTTCTGCTCCCATCATAACTGCTTCTTGTAGAAATAAAAAAATAATTAAAAACCCATTTTCTGTCTTTTGGGGCTCCCACTCAAGCACATATAGTTTGACTCGTATATTCAAGAACCAAACATACACGTCTTCTACTGCCGTGCATGCTTTCTACTTTAGAAGTTTAGTTTGGGCAGATGGATGCATGGATGCTTTTCTTTCTGTACATATAACCGGAGTCTTAGGAAGCAGAAAAGATGCATTTAAGTCCACTGTTGAATAAGACATTGTAGAGTTGACCGTTTTCTGCTCAAGGTTATCTTAGAAATCTGTCCAGCCGGCTTCATAGTAAAAGGGAGCAGGACGGATTTTCAGGGAGCCTCTGAAAGCTGAAGAGCTGAGGGAAACAGGATGCTGTTGAACATCCGGTTTCTTCTCCTGGTACTGTGGTGAGACCTGGTCTAACTCTGGACAGAGAAAGTATTCAACCTCTGAAGAGTGCTTACAGGGCAACCCAGAGTCACCTGCTTACCACCAAGACCATCCAGGTCGAAATCCTTCTGCTATGCTTGAGTTTAGTTTGCCAAGGGTGTGACTACACTGCGATTTGCTGCAATTCGATTCACAGCCGGTGTTACATTTGAATAGCATCAGTCAGGATAAGGGACTTGGGCTATTTGATTCATTTCTTTCTTCAGATAACTTGGAATGCTGATGCACTGGTAACGCTCTGTAATAAAAATTTGTTTCAGGGGTGACCTCCTGAAAGTGGACTCCCCCCCTCCGCCCAGCCCTCTGAGGGGAACAGGACCTGCTCAATCCTTCGTATCTCTGGAAATAGGTCACCCGGCTCCTGCCGGGATCCGAATCCTGGCCTGCTGTGTCGGATGTCACCTGGGCGATCGCTTCTGATCGCCCCACAGACGTCTCTCCTCGAAGCTTGTTGAGTGCCTTGGGCTGCTTCCTCTTCTTCACCGCTGCCAGGCCCGCCATGCACGCCCGCACACACACCCGGGCACGCACACCTACAAAGCCAACCAGCTCCGATCGGGCGTGTACGTGAGGATGCGCATGAGGATGGAAAACTGGGGGGGGGGAAGAGAGGTTTAAATACACAGACCTTCATTTCCTCCTCAAGTGCGTGGCAGTTTAACTTTGCGAAGCGGGTGGTGGCCTCCCTGGGTGCGGAATCGCCGCAACCGTGGCAAGGACTTCAGTAGTTCGGCGAGCCGAGATTCCCCCACGCCCCATTCGGACGACAGGCTGCTCCGCGGGTGCCCCCACCCCCACCCTACCCCGACTTCTTCGGAAGGAACGCCACGTGGCTGGTGGTGCGCGGGCAAAGCCGAGGGAGAGCGTGCGCTGGGGAGCCAGCCCCCCCTCTCCCCCTGCCTCTGCCTCTCCAGCTGCCAGCCACCCACTCGCCCCCCCCCAACCCAGCACCAC